GTGAATTAATGGCTTTTGTGATATCAAATTAAAGTATGTGTTATGTCTTAATTAAAAACTTAAATTGATACCTACAAAACATTGGCCTAGTGGATGAGAACTGAGAAGTCTCACTTAAAACTTATTTCCAAGGGCTCGTTTACTAACAGAAAATTGTTCTCTGATCTATTTTCTATTTTCTAATTTTTCAGTTCATTCTCTGTTTAGAAAACTTGTTTACAAACACATATTTAAAAAAAAAAATTTATTATTAACGTTACAAAATTAACACAAGTTTAATTTCTAGTGATTTTTAAATCTTATATTTAAAATATTTTTACATATATTCATTTCAATGACATATATATAAATATATAATTTTTACTTTGAATTCTAATATATGTGATATTTCAATATCTGATATCCGGAGCGAACTTGTATTACGATATAATGTAACTAAAAATATTCGAACTAATAATCTATTGAGTTCAACCAAAATCTAAAATATTGTATAGAGTTTAATTATATTCTTAATTTTGATAATGTGAAAAATGTCTAACTTTAAAATGTAAGCAAATTAAATAAGTTATGTTTAAATATCTAAAGTAGAAATGATAGAAAATGGTGATAAGTAAAAGAAGATGATGCTGAATGTAATCATAGTAATGTAGTTATATTGACATATAATCAAATAAATGATAGATGCTTCTGTTTTCCTTTTAGAAAGCAATTTTTAAGAGTGTTCCAAAAAATTATTTTCAATTTTAATTTCAAAATGGAAAACTGTGTTAGTAAATATTTTTTTTGTTTTCAATTATCTAGTTTTCCAGTTTTCCAGAAAATTGGAAAAAAAATTTCGGTTAGTAAACAGGCCCTAGGGGTTTGGATTTGGGATGTGTTCCTTGTGTAGACAGAAGTGTGTGTATATATATATATATATATATATATATATATATATATATATATATATAGTTCAACTAAATCGAAAAATCTTTACAATTGTACTACACATTTATTATTTTCAAAAAAAAGTACTACGCATTTATTATTTTGAGTTAATTCTTTTTTTGGTCCTAGACTTATTAGGGTGGACACGTTTAGTCCACGATAAAAAAAAAAAAAAAAAAAAATTGTCACATTTTGACCACACTTATTAGATGAGTTTTTGTCTTCTCGGTCGTCAGGTTCACCAACTTTTTCGAGAAGCCCTCTTCTGTACGCCGTTGTGGTGAACGGATTGATATTTTGGCTTTTCTGAGAAGCCCTCTTCCTACCCCGTTGTGGTGAACAGATTGATATTTTTTTTTACTAAAATAGAACAACTGACAAGTGGCTCTGTTTATATATACTTTCTCAACCTAGTGAAGCACAAAGAGTCAATACCGCCCCAACTGATGAGGCTCGAACCCATGATCTCTTATTTAAAAAAGTCACTTCATGTCGCTTGAAAACGACATCATTGACATTATTATTATTATTATTATTATTATTATTATTATTATTATTATTATTATTATTATTATTATTATTATGTCTTGTTTTAAATATGAGTAGAGATGGGTCCTGATGAATATATTAGGAGAAGGGACTCGGGACAACCCGACCCGGGGGTCGCGGCGTGATGCGAAGGGCCTGGGAGACCCCAACTGGGTCCCCGGCGTAAACCTCGGCTGAGGTCTACTACGTGGACCCCAATTGGGGATGACCTCAGCGCCGGCCAAGGTCGGAGTCAACCTCGGCCTCGGCCAGCTGAGGTTAGGCGGCGCGTGACTCGGTCAACTAAGATCCAACCACCCGTCCTATTCTCTTGGGGTCGGTTGGGAGGATTATTTAGTATAAAAAGACATCTCCTTGTCTCGTTAGGACATCTACACTTTACCTCACTATTACATGCCTTGTAATTCCTCTACAAAAGATTATTAATACAACAATTGTCCCCGCGGCATATACATTCATTGCCTTTTCCTATTTATTATTTATCGGGTTTAGTGATTCCAGTCTACCCCGGGCAATTAAATCTATCAGGTCCAATCATGCATGGAGAAGCCTACGGCGCCACGTGTGCTTACGACTATGGACAATGCATTCACCCTTTGAAATGCAGTAAGTGGTGCAGGAAGAAATGCTTTCCGGACGGTGTATGTAACATCAGACAGATATGCTGCTGCATAGGTTTTCAAAGAAAAAAGAAGATATGCTGATGCATACGCTAATAACATCTCCAAGCGGATCCAAGAATGCCATTAATAAATGGGGTAAAAAACTGCAAAAATTTTAAAACTTTGGTTGGAATAAATTGTATATCATCTGTATTAATATAATATTCACAAATATTATTTTATTTTAATCGAATCCATTTTATGTGTTCCTAGATTATTAATTTGAAAGGGATGATGTGCAATTGATATTTCTAGATTATATTGACTAAATAGTTCATGAAATGTAAATCTTCTTTCAAAATATTTTTTCATAATTGAACTACAAAACATATTTTGTAATCCATATCAAATAATTAATCAATTCAAATAATTATTATTACACATTACGATTTACGCATTATAAATCGCACAATTAATATAAAATTAAAAATGAGAAAATAACTCACAAATAAAAATTACAATTAAAGTGTATTCAACAAGTTTTGATCCCTGGATCTCTTAAGACAATAGATGCTTATTATCTAATTTTTTAAAATACTCATAATTATGAATACTACAACCCCATATTACAGGCGAATAAACGGAATTCAATTAATTGTAAACACCACTACCCTTGCTCCAGAATTTCGACGATGTCTCTGAACCTTAGGGTGACATTGCAACGACGGAGAATGTCAATAGGCAATGGGTAGTATGTGAAACGCGTATGTTACAGTAGATGTAATTGTGCAACCTAGAAGACAAAATCCTATCTAAAGAACCAATTCCTAAATTAAGCCCTAAAAATTTAGACGAAATTTACTATTCAAATCCTTAAAATACACATAATTTAATTAGTCTCTCCAAATCCACGGTCAAAAATATATAATTAAAAAAAATTATATTTTATATAGATCTCAAGATTTTAATGGTCCAGATTTGTCCACGATCAAATGCATTTGTAATTTTTCAAAATGTACTTGTGTGAAGTACACTACTTGTACATGTTTAAAATGCATTTGGATTGTTGAAAAGTGTGCATTCGTATACATAAACATAACTTATTGAATTATATATTTGGGAAATATATTGAAACGAAATAGCTTAACCAAACTAATTTAGTTCTAATTATGATTTTTTTTCCGTGAAAGAATCATAAACATGTTTTGTTACATGTTTAATGTTTTTCAAATTCAAACGTATTCTTAACCAAACCAACAAACCTATACCTTATATATAGAGTTATATGCTTGAGTTATGTTCTTTCATGTTCACTTATATATATACATGCATGTAGAAATTAAAAAAAGCCCAGAATTGAGAGCAATATAATGACAAGTTCTTTGAAGTCAATTACAATAACCTTCCTTTTACTCGTCCTCCTTTCTTTTTCTGGTAATTTAATTCTTTTTACAAAAATTTTTATTAATATTATGATGGTGTCATTGTTATCTTTTATAAAGAGACTTTTAGGTTCGAATCTCATCCGAATCGAGCTTGGCATTATACTGAGTACATTTTAATTTGAAAATATATGTGTGCTCACTGTTGTAATTAAAAATCAGACTAAGCGGTCGCCTAGGTCGATCATCTAGGCACCCGAATCGGACAAGTCAGCGCATGACTCAACAACACTCGACTCCTGACTAGGCGGCCTAGACGCCTGAGTCAACTAGGGCTGTGCAGTCGGACGGATCGGACGGTTCGGATGGCGGACTGAGCCCCCCGGTCGGATATCGGATTTCTAATTTGACCACCCTAACCGTTTTTTTTGGTTGACTTATCCAATCGGTTAATTTTGATTTCGGATTGGATCGGATCGGTCGGATATCCGTGTGGTAAATCGGTTTTATCAGAATGTAAAAATCAAATATTCAATTCATAGATGATGGAACACCTAACTAATGAACTACTTAACTAACTTAAGTACTAAAAGCCACTAACTAGTAAGTACTAACTACTTAACAGCAAAAATAACATAAGTAAACTTATAAAAGTGTAAACATATAATCAGCAAAATACAAATTAGCTTACATATAATCAGCAGATTAGCTTACAAATTACAAGTTACAAATTAGCAAAAATATAACAATCTTCTCCAAACTCCCAAGGCAAGTAGGCAGTGAGGCAACTAGGCAAGCATGCAAGTGGCAACAGCATCAGTCTCCATTCTCCAATCAGCACATTAGCCTTCAGCTTTCATGTTTCATCCATTGAGCAAAAGAAAGCCAGATATCCAAAACTCCAAAAGTAATATATGAATATATGATTAATATAATATAGAGTACTCTATGTCTCTATTAGTCTATTCTTCTTCCTGATAAGTGAACACATAAAAACACAATAAGTTCAAAACATTTGAAGATAGGATTGACACAATCACACAAACTGAAACTGTAAAAGACTAAAAGAGTGCTCAGATAGCTTTTTTTCCATATCAAGTTAGGATTGGGGGCACACTACTCAATGAGTATGGCATAAACACCACACTTCATAGGCAACATACCAAACCCAATTCTATATATTCAGAGAACATGGTGGAAGCATCATCATAGCACAATAATACTTATACTGGAACAACTAATGAATTATATTTAAATAGCAAAGACTCAAAGAGTGCTCAGATACTTTTTTTTTTCCATATCAATTTAGGATTGGGGGAACACTACTCAATGAGTATGACATACACCACACTTCATAGGCAACAGACCAAACCCAATTCTATATATTCAGAGAACATGGTGGAAGCATCATCATAGCACAATAATGAATAGTTATACAGTTATAAGAGTAGTGAGTCAGAAGTCAGAAGTCACATTTAGACATTTAGTCAGTACTTATACTGATACCTGAGCTCAATGGCAGCAACATTTAAAATGTTACCTAGCCATGAGCACTTTCCAGTTCCAGTTCCAACTTCCCAGCCTCTGAGGGACATTGATTTGAATCATTGATACACATACATGAATACATGATACACTGATACAGAGGCATAAATTTATCATGAAATCAAATCAAATAAGTAATCACAAATTCAGATTTCAAAATAAATTAATGGAAACTGTAAACATACAACAATTGTAGGCATTCCAGTTCCAGTGCTGGATGTGCTGCACAACTCTGCAGTACAAAAACAAACTGGAAATTAGAACTTAAACAATTAAACATTTAAACAGATCATTGCTGGAAGTTAGAAGTATATACCTTTCTCAATCCTTTCAACATCTTCAATATTTTCTTCAATTGAGATTGGTTGATTGCTTAATCTTAGCCAATCCTGTGCACACACCAATGCCTCAACAATTCTAGGAGTTAGGGAACTCCTAAAGGCATCAAGTACCCTTCCACTTGTACTGAATGCTGATTCTGAAGCAACAGTTGATATTGGAACAGCTAGGATATCCCTTGCCATTTTAGATAAGACAGGGAACCTTTCAGATTGTTGCTTCCACCATCTTAGAAGGTCAAATGAATCATCCTCATCCACAATAACCTCAGAGAGATACACTTCCAACTCAGTTTTTTTCCTAGACAAATCCCCACTCACCAATTTTTGCTTCTTAATCTGAGATTTCAGTAATGATTGAGGTCTCCCAACAGAAACAGAATCAGATATTGTTATTGATGGAGAAAATTTTTCAGATTGTTCAACAGACTAGACAGGGAAGCATGCAACATAATCTTCAAACAACTCCTTAAGGCCAACAATCACCTTATCAAACATTGTTTTACCCTTTTCCTCACCATATAACTGGTTAAACTGAATGGGCATATACTCAATTTTGTCCCTGGGGTCTAAGATATTTGCATAGAATATCAAAAAATTCATTTTTTCAGGCTCACCCCAATACTTATCAAATTTTGCCCTCATATTTTTACCCATCAGTTTAACACTATCTTCTGTAGCTTCCTCCATATTTTTCAACAAGCAAGACAAATCGGAAATCTCAGAGAAGAAGGTATTAGAAGTCACATACAATGATCCAGAAATCCTAACAGTCATTTCATAAAAAGATTTCAGAATCATAACCAAAGATTGAATGGATTCCCAATCTAAGAAATCAGGTACACTTCCACCCAAATCAGATTTAAATGAACTGTCATGATCATCATAGGCTTCAAATACCTTCTGAAACAATAATGCAGTATTAAGCATCATATATGTGGAATTCCACCTTGTAGGGACATCTAGACACAGAGAATTCTTAGCTTCCACCCCAATTAGATCAGCTAGTGATTTAAACTTCTGCAACCTAGCAGGTGAGCTCCTCACATACCTAACAGCATCCCTGACTTTCTTAACAGAACTGTCACATTCTTTCAACCCATCCTGTACCACCAAGTTAAGAATGTGAGCAATGCACCTCATGTGCAAATACTTACACCTAACAGCAGTACAACCCCAAGAGCCCAACTTCTTCTTCAAGAATCCTAGGGCAGTATCATTGCTGGAAGCATTATCTACTGTCACACTAAACACTGATTTTAGACCCCAGTCCAAAAGGCAACTCTCTAAAGCCTTTGCAATACTTTCCCCCTTGTGGGAATATATAGGAACAAATGAAATAATCTTCTTTTGCAGCTTCCACTCACTATCAATGAAATGTGCAGTTATGCACATGTAGTTTATTCTCTGGACTGAGGTCCAAGTATCAGTTGTGATACTTACCCTCTGACTGCTAGTCCTAAAAAACTTCTTCAAGTTGACCCTCTCATCAGAAAATATCTTGAAAATGTCCCTACTGATAGTCCATCTTGAAGGGATTTTAAACCTAGGACAGCAAACTAAAACAAACTTTCTAAAACCCTGTCCCTCAACAATCCTAAAAGGAAGTTCATCTAAAATAATCATCTCAGCTAAGGCTCTCCTTATCAAGTCTTGATCAAACACCCAAGTACCCAACACCCCTTCAGTTCCTTCACTACTTTGAGTTCCAGCAGAAGAAGGTGCAGGTTGGAATGTGAGTAGGGACTGCCTTGTCTCCTTAGAGTGAGGATTTTTAAGGCAGTTTACCACATGAAGTCTGAGAGAAGAAGTCCCATGTTTCTTGCTCTCACAGCAATACACTTTTGCACAATATATACATTTTCCTTTGATGACAATGCCCTCACTGTCTTTGATCTTTTCAAAGTGATCCCAACATGGAGCCCTGGATTCAACCTCTTTCCTTTTCTTTGGAACAGGTGGAGGCAAAGGCTGCTGAGACTGAGGAGTAACAGTCTCTACAGCAGGTGCTTCCAACTCAGGTTGGGTTCCAGATACACCAGTAACACCACTAACACTTTCCATCTAAAAAGGGGAAAGTATCAGTGACACAGAATGGGAAATCACTCATTGAAAATCATCAACAGAGAATGGGCTTTGTCACATACACACATGTATCAATTAATTAAAGTGTTAAACACTTAATCAGGCAGAATTCAGTGAATTAAACATTTCATCATGTATGCAGAATTGCACATAAATGATTTAAGGGTCACATATCCATAAACTTACAATTTCACATTTTCACAGTTACAACTTACAACTAAGTAACTAACAACTTACAAATTACAATTTACAATGAAATCCATAATCAGGCATTCAAGCTAAGTAGATGTATGCTACTTTATATGCTCATCATTTATATGGATTTCAGTCACACATGAGTACAAGACACACTCCCACATTTATATGGCTTCCACAAGAATACCATCATGCTTAACATTTATAAGGATTTCAGTATTTCACACACAGTTCCTGAGTTCCACACTTCCACAGTGGCAAGGGGCTAGGGCAGTATGGCTTCCACCACAGATTAGGTTACAAATTAGAAACCCTAATCACACAATTCACAAATTCAAACTCAAAGGACTAGTGACATGCAATCCGGAACTTCTCAACGGATTTACAAGTATCATAGTCCAGTGAGTCCACAGATTAGGTTACAAATTAGAAACCCTAATCACACAATTCACAAATTCAAACTCAAAGGACTAGTGACATGCAATCCGGAACTTCTCAACGGATTTACAAGTATCACAGTCCACAACTCCACATAATCATAAAAATTAGAAACCCTAATCAAGAAGACAAATACACAATAATCTATAACGGAAATGAAAATAGGGTTTAGTAATTACTTCGTTTCTCAAATTTAATCCCTCGAGAACAAAGGGCTTCGGATCCACTATTCCACCGTTCCACAGTTCCACCGGAGTCCGGTGACCGGACTAGGGTCTAGGGCTTCCACCACTCCACCAGAGTCCAGACTAGTCGCTACTCCGAGTCTCCGAATAGGGCTTCCACCATACTACAACTGAGAGAATTAGACTGAGAGAACTGAGATTTGAGAAGTGAGAACTCAGAGTCTTAGAGAGTAAGACTCAAAGACCAGAGCGAAAGAGAGAACGAGAGATGAGAGATGAGAGATTGAGACTTGAGAGAAGACTGAAATGGGAGCTCGGCTGCCGCTGACCGGAATGGATAGTATATATACATATAACACACGACGTCGTATTACATAAGGGTAAAAAAACCCTAGGCTTCCTCGGTTTCTCGGACGGGTTCGGGTGGCGTTTAATGCCTCCCACCCGAACCCTCTTCATCCGGCTAAAAACGGCCACTCGGTTCGGGTTTTGTCTTCGGATACGGGCCGCTCAACGGGCTCACCCGTCGGTTGTCGGGTCGGGCGGGTGGGTCGGGTTTCTCGGATTCTGCACACCCCTAGAGTCAACCATACTCGGCGCGCAACTCAACGCAGTGTTAATTCGACACTTAAAAATACCATTTACCACAAAAAAAAAAAAATCGAAAAAATTATACTTTTAGTCCATCATTGTTCCTGATTTATAAATGTGTCTTTAAATTACTATATTTAGTCCTTAAATTATTGATCAAGCTTTATATTTACTTTTTGTCTTTCAACTGTTATAAATCAAGCCTTTCAATTGTTTATTCAATTGTATATATAGTACCTTAAATAAAATTTAGATTTGCAATCAGGTCAATATATAATTGTATGATTAAATATACAATATATTTAAAAGAAAAAACACTAAATTTACAATTAAGTCAATAATTGAAAAACTATATTTATACTTATTGAAAGGCATGAATTTCACTTGTAATTCATAAACAATTGAACGATAGAAAAAATGCGATTTTCTCAAAAGCAAATGGTGCATGGTTGTTCATTCGTTTATTATTATTATTATTATTATTATTATTATTATTATTATTATTATTATTATTATTATTATTATTATTGTTGTTGTTGTTGTTGTTGTTGTTGTTGTTATTGTTATTGTTATTGTTATATTTCTTTCCAGTTATTATTATTTTCTGATTTAAATATAAGCAGAGATGGGTCCAATAATGCTTGGAGAAGCCAAGGACTGCGTTGGATCGAAGTGGTTATGTGTCACTAACCATTGCAATAAAAGGTGCTGGCGCCATGGCTATAAAAATGGCAATTGTGGCTCTAATTTATTCAAAAATTCACCATGCTGCTGCTGGTAATTATGGCATGTGTAAAATAATTTAAAATGAATGGAAAAATTACACTTTTAGTTCTTAAGTTATATATCAAGTATATATTTATTCCTTATTTATAAATTTGGTCCTTAATTAGCAATTACAGTGACTATTCTTGTCTTTTGGGGACCAAAACACCACGTGTAAAAATTACAGTCTAACAAATTTTGAAAAAAATTTCACTTATATAGATGCTCTTATGGAGCCTTGATGCCACTTTTGCACGAGCCTAAAGGCTCCAACCCCACTTTTTTTTACTGACAAATTGACAATTGACGTGAAAAAGTGTAGAAATGAAGGGGGGCCGCACAAATCACTTATATAATTCGCTATCCACTAACCATTAACACAATCCGCTAACTGCTGATTGCCAAATAAGGTCAATGAGTCGCTAAGTCACCGTGATTTACTTATTTACTATCATGTCGGGTCTGATGTAGGAGCGAGTGAATTTTGCCTTATGTGGGTAAGATTGCACTATAAATATCAAATAATATATTTTATAGTGTTGCACAATACACTCCAAGGTTGAGATAATTATTAAAATGTCACAACATTTTTTTCTTGCTTCAGAATTGTAACCAATGAATAAGAATGATTCTCAATTTTCTCTTGAGGACGAGTTGTCACTTGAGTATGCTCATGTGTGTGTTATTATAATAAAAATAAATATATAAATTGATAAATATAATTTTGAATTACAGAAATTGAAGAAAAAAATTCTTTTTGGAGAGAATGTAGGCCAGGTCAAATCAAGATTTTTATTGTTTGACTTGGCCTACTGCGTGAACAATGACTGTGTTCCTGATTCTATTTCATATACTTGTTCTTTAATTTATTATTTCACCATTTGATCAACAATATAAATTAAAGATAAGTTAATTATTGATAAAAAAAAATAAATAGAACGTGCATTCAAGACTCACAGTTCAATTTCAGACACCACTTAGAAGAAGAGAGAGAGAAAGAAAGAAAGAACTATGTGTAAGACATAAATTTGAAAAATACTTTTGGAACAAAAATCTAAGAATATAATTTTCGTCAGAATGGGTCTTTTTTCTTTAACCAAAAAAAAAAACTAATTTACATCTAATAATGATTTGTTCCGTGTAAGCATCATTAAAATGTTTGTTACATGCATGGTGTCATGCTTGTGGTGTTTCATGTTTGAAAATAGGACAAGTAATTATACGTATTTATATTAAAATCATCAAACATACACTATATACGTAAAGAGTAATATATATACAAGAGATCTTTCTTGTACATTTGTACACAAAAATAAGTCTCAAATAGAAAATTACATTAATGGCTCGATCCTTTAAACTGTTTGTCACTATGTCCCTTTTGTTGGTCCTCCTTATTTCTCCTGGTAATTCCTTCTGAATAAATATTCATTTATAATTTCTTTTCTAGTACTATTGATTCTGTTATAATATAGTATATGTCCATACATATTTTTTCAACCTAATAAAAGTTTCACTGACTCTATTACAATGTAGTATCTGTTCATAGCTACTAGCTACTTTCTCAACCTACTGAAACACAAAAAGCCAATAACGCCTCCACTGAGGCTCGAAATCACAACCACTACTGGAAATTATGGAATTTCCGACCACCTGAAAGTGATCTTAAATCAAATCGAAAGCCTCGTTCCGACCACTTTTGGTATCCGGAAAAACCTTTGTTGCTATTTCCGACCATTTTTTGGTTACACTTTTAGTTCTTAAGTTATATATCAAGTATATATTTATTCCTTATTTATAAATTTGGTCCTTAATTAGCAATGACAGTGACTATTCTTGTCTTTTGGGGACCAAAACACCACGTGTAAAAATTACAGTCTGCTACGTAAGCAGGTAACATGCTATCTGGTGAAATTGTATACATTTAGAGTGTTCAGTGGTCAAGTTGTACTTTTTTTCGTTGAGTGACCTAATTGCATTTTCAAGTTACGTTAAGTGATCAATTTGAACTTTATTCTTACTTTTAAATCAAAATGTAAAAGTATTAATTACATTTTTCTTCAAAACTATTACACTTTTCCGTATAAGTACGTAATAAAAACTTTATTTTTTTTTCCTGATTAGTATTACATTTTTATCTTGGCCCGATCCGTCTACAAACGAAGATCCGTGAGACAGTCTCACACAAGTGTTTGTCGAAACCAAAATATATAACTAACTACCAACAATTTCGGTATCATGCTTGTTACATGTATGCTTGGGGACATATTTAAGGTATATTAATTGTAAAAGTAAGACAAACAACATACTTATACATAAACAAACCAATAAACATACCCTATATATATTGAGCTACATATACTTTGATATCTTTAATGTACACTAACATACACTCTTGACTAATGGCACAATCATTAAAGTTGTTCATCACTATATTCATCTTGCTGATCCTATCATTTACTGGTAACACTTTATTTTGATTTTTTTTTTTTTTTTTTGGTTTATGGTTTTAATTTGTCAAATGAGTGTATTAGTGAACTTAAATATATGCAAATCAATGGCTTTTGTGATATCAAATTAAAGTACGTGTTATGTCTTAATTAAAAACTTAAATTGGTACCTACAAAGCATTGGCCTAGTGGATGAGAGCTGAGAATTCTCACTTAAGACTTATTTCCAAGGGTCCGTTTACTAACAGAAAATTGTTCTCTAATCTATTTTCTGTTTTCTAATTTTCAGTTTTCATTTTATGTTTAGAAAACTTGTTTACAAACACATATTTTTTTAATTTTTTTTTTATTAACGTTA